CATATCTAATTCAACAAACCATGGATCAACAACACTAGAGAAAAAAAAAGTAAAACAAAATTTGAATGTGCCATGCATAAAGAGCACCAGGCTGAATTCACATGAATCAAGTGATGTGCAGGCATGCCCTGCTGTAGGCTCCCACCATCTCAGATCCTCAGTCTCTCTCTAGAGCACTGTATTATGCCTCACCATGTTTGCTACTTGTGGGCACTCTTAGTTTCTGTTTAAAAAAAAAAAAAAAAAGGTTCCTAAAAGGCAATTAACTGGGAAAAACAATCTCTCTTAAAGGCTAAGAGGGAGAGTAAAGTGTTATTTACAGGGCACTTACATTGTATTGTCTCCAACTCAGAGCAACCCGGACCCTCTGTAGAGTTTCCCAGAGTCGTCGGTGGTTTGAACTGCCGAACTTGCGGTTACCAGTTCAGTACTTATCCTACAGGGCCACACCAGGGCTCTACAATATATTAGATCTTATAAATAATATAAAGTAAACATGGGAAGGGAGGATGTGCATAGTTATAAGCAAATATTATTCTATTTTATAGAAAGGACTTGAGCATCCATGGATTTGGGTATGCACAGGAGGTTCTGGAACAATCCTCCTTGGATGCCGAGGGGCAACTATATTTGCATTTAGAAATGTAGCAACTAGCTAATTATTGCTTGGTGTCATGCTGTTTATCTATCTGCACCCCAAGGCCAAAGTGCTATACCGATAGGGATGACCACAGAGAGAGCACAGTACAGGAGGAAAAAATGCAAGGTTCAAATAAACACAAATCAACTACTTTTAGCAGGTTGAATGCAGAAAAAAGAATGGCTTTAAAAAGTACAAAAGGCTACTTGGCTTTTATACAAAGCAAAACAATAACCATGTGTGAAACCCAAGTTTAGAAAAAGCATAACTACAAAAATCAGTTGGATTAAGGAGCTCTGGTAGCATGTCGTTGTTGTTGTTAAATGCCGCTGAGTCGGTTCCAACCCATAGCGACCCTGTACAGGGTTTCTGAGGGTGTAAATCTTTACGGGAGTAGAAAGCCTCATCTTTCTCCCGCGGAGCGGCTGGTAGTTTCGAACTGCTGACCTTAAGGTTTGCAGCCCGATTCGTAAACACTAGGCTACCATAATACCTTTTACAACAACCACCCAAAGGATGAAGTAGTTAGGAATAAACCTAACCAGAGAAGCAAAGACCTATACAAAGAAAATTACAAAACACTGCTGCAAGAAACCAAAAGAGATTTACAAAAATGTAAGAATATAACATGCTCATGGACAAGATTTAACACTGGAAAATGTCAACAGTACCCAAAGGAATCTAAAGATATATAATGCAATCCCAATTCAGATTCCAAAAACATTCTTTAAAGAGATGGAAAAACAATCACAAGCTTAATATGGAAAGGAAAGAGATCTTAGATAAGCAAAGCACTGCTTAAGAAGAAAAAAGTTGGAGGCCTCTCACTCTCTGATCTCAAAATTTATTATTACACAAAGAGTGGTCAAAATAGCCTGGTACTGGTACAATGAAAGACACAGAGACCAATGGAACAAAACTGAAAACCCAGAAGCAAATCCATCCACATACAGTCAACTGATCTTTGACAAAGGGCCAAAACACTTTAAATGGGGAAGAGATAGTCTCTTTTAACATATGGTGCTGGCAAAACAGGAAGTCAATTTGCAAATGAATGAAACAAGACCCATATCTCACATCATATATAAAAACAAACTCAATATGGATTAAAGACCTAAATTTAAACCTGAAACTCTAAAGATCAGCAATGAGAAAATAGGGACAAACTTAAGGGACTCTAACACATGCCCTACATACACTATCAAACACTGTAAAAAAAATACACAAAATAAAAGAAGACAAAACAGGTGACTGGGACTTAACTAAAAATTAGAAATTTACGTGTATCAAAAGAGTTCACCAAAAAAGTAAAAAGAGAGCCCACAGACTGACTGGAAAAAAATTTTTTTGTAATGACATATTAGACAAGGGACTAATCTCTAAAATTTACAGAAAACTAGAACACCTCTACAAGACAACCCAATTAAAAAACAGACACAGGACATGAACAGACATTTCACCAAGGAAGACATTCAGACAGCCAACAAACATGAAGAAATGTTCATGATCATTAGCCATAGTTGTTGTTATGTGCTGTACAGGGTTTCTGAGGCTGTAAATCTTTATGGGAGCAGAAAGCCTCATCTTTCTTCCGCGAGAGATGCAAATCAAAACAATAATGAGATACCACCTCACACCAGCATTTAACGGAAAAGTTCCAACAAACAGAAAACAACTAATGCTGCTAGGGTGTAGGGAGACTGGGATCCTCCTACATTGCTAGTGGGACTGTAAAATGGTTCAACCACTCTAGGAAATGGTATGATGCTTCCACAGAAAGCTGGAAATAAAAATACTTTATGACCCAGCAATCCTTCTACTTGGCATATATCCACAAGAAATACAAGCCAGGACATGAGTAGATGTATACACACCAATGTTCATCACAGCATTATTCACAATAGCAAAAAAGATGGAGACAGCCTAAGTGCCCACCAATGGAAGAAGGGATAAACAAACTGCGGACATAAACCTAATGGAATACTATGCAACCTTGAAGAGTAACGATGAATCTGCAAAACACCTCATACATAACATGGAAGAACCCTGAGGACATTATACTGAGTAAAACTAGTTAATCACAAAGGGACAAATATTGCATGAGACCATTATTGTAAAGCTTAAGAAAAGATTTACATACTAAAAGAAACATTCTTTCATGGTTACCGGGGTTAGGAGGAAGGGGAGAGTAATTCACAGGTTAGAGAGTAGACACATGTTAGCTCAGCGATGGAGAGGGCAATATACAAGGAAGGAGAGAGGAAAGTGGCAGATGAAAAATGAAAATAAGGAAAGACTTAAGGGAGGTATGCATAGCCTAAATGAGGTAAATAATGATTTATACATAACCCTGAAACAACAGTGTTCTGTGATACAGGAAGCAAGACAAAATCTGAAAGTGTAAAGGAGGGGAAAAAATGTTTGTCTTATGCATATTGGTTTCCCTTGTCTACTACTGTAAAATAGACATTTAATTCTGATAGAAATGAATGTTGGGAATTATGATTACAGAAAGTTTGTAAGACCATCTTCAGCCTTTAACTTACTGGATTTGATAAAAGGGGAGTTAGAATTTGCCCAGAGAAAGGCTTCTTGTTAAGCTTTTGTGAGGCCTTAGGTGGAATTCTGAGCCCCATTCAGAACCTTCTGAGTTGGAACATTCCCACTTGAAAAGACATGCAGACCAACCCAGAACTGCTGGGAGAAAAGAAGAGTCTGCTTGACTGCTAGAATACTAAGCAAACTGTTTGCTTTGGAGGCATCAAGACAGAAAAGTCAGCCCATTAGGAAAAACCCATTCTAGGGCTGAAACTCAAAGGGAACCTATTAGCAGCCTAGTATGCTCACTGGTGACTGTCCTGTTCTACTTATGAGTGAAAGTGGGGGAAATGCAGCAATGAAGACATGGGCTGAGTCTGACCATGTTCCACTGACACCCACTGACCTTGTGAAGAGAGAAAGAGGAAGGCCTGGCTGGTGTGAAGTTTAGGAAAATGTGTGAACTCCCGAGACCATGGGCACCATGGGCACTGAACTGGGGACTAGAGCTGAGACTGAAGCAGCCAGCTGGTCTGAAGTGCAGGGAAGGTATATGTGAACTCCCAAACTTGTAGCTAGTATCCATCTGACCTAGGTTGGGTGGCTAGCTGACCAGAACTTGACAAGATGAAGATAAAGAGTCTGGATATTATGAACAAGTATAAATTGCTACAATTTGATGAACTGGACCATTGCTTATAGATTATAGATGCAGTTGCTCAAAATTTCAACTAGAATGGAAGGATTCTTCCTATCAAGAAACAAACTTGTTTCCTCACTGCACTGGGTTGATAGAGACGGGCAATCTAGACACTGGCTATGAAAAATGGGGGCTACCAAAGTACAAAGTGTCTGGCTTACAAACTTCCATGAGTGTACTCAGTTGCAGAATGAGGGGGTAAGGTAGAATTCCTCACTGAACAGTTTTTCTCTTTTCCAGATGGATCTGGTGAAAGGAGATGGGGGATGTATAATTAAAAGGGGGGAGTAGATAAGATAATCTTTCATTTCAGGAACAGAGGATCCCAGGAAAGAAGAGCATGAAAGGAGCAAGAGATCCTACCTAGAAAAGCGGCGACTGCAGAGGCGGTGCCAGATTTGATGGCATGGAGAGACAGCAGCTGCAGGCTCTAGGTCCATGGACCGAGTAAAGCTGTGTGCCTGCGGGCAGGAGGCTGGATTGCAGAATATGCCCTTAGGACATTTACATGAATATATATTTTCTGTTTCGCCTGTGTACATCAAATATTTTTGCTTTGTTCGTTTGTGAAATATAAGATGTAAATAGGGAGCCACAGGGAGGAAGTACAGTAACTAACTGCTGTTGCAGGGAAAGGATTATAATCACTGAGATGAAACAAAGCTTATAATTGGTTGAATGTAAAGCTGATAATCTTGTCTGTTAACCTTCATTCAATTCACAACAAAAAGCTAAACAAACAAAAAACCCTATGGAGCAGAGTTCTACTTCAATCACATGGGGTTACATGAAATTACATTTTCAAAGCTCATGTTGCAAAAATGATATAAGGAGGACAAACCCCATGCTTTCACAAAATGCTTTCACATTAAACAGATGCCTAGAAACAATGAAGCCATCATGCATGATTTTAGGTTTTTATTTTGATATTCAAAAATTCCAAATGGAAACAATTAGAAAGAGAAGATAAGGGGCGGGTAGCAAAGTTCTGGTTTTCACAGAAAAAAAACGCAGTAAAGATTTGTATGTGAATGTGCTTGCATGATTTACAAGTTTCTAAATTAATTTTCTATCACATACCTAAGAAAGCTTGTAAATATACTTTAGATCTCTTGGACATACCTTTCTCACGTCTGAACTCTTTGGTTCTGTTGTCCAGGTTATAATTCTAGAAACAGCAAGCCTTGTCTCACTAGAGTTTATAAAATCTGTTGGATCCATTTGCCTGGCCAGAGACTCAATGTATTTTAGGATTGCAACTTTGACCTGAAAGATCCAATAGTTATAAACAGTAAGTACACTTTATGAATTTTTTAAAAATAAAATTCTTAATGGGGTGGAGGGCAGAAGAAAACAAATGCTGATGTGAGGGGATCATCTTTTCCCCTGAATTTGTGTTTCATATGGAGGTACATTGTTGGGGGGAAAGGCACAAACTGATAGATGATAAGTCTGGGAACAGGGACTGTCATGCAGCTTAGTCTCCTATTTTGCATCTCGTGCCTGTCCAGACAGGGGGCTCTGCCACAAGACACTTTCAGTGTGGGAAGGAGAGGTTTTCCAACTCGGTCATTAACAGAGGGCATATTTAACTCTTCCAGGCCTTGCAAGCCAGCACTTAGCAGTAAGAAAGGTGGTGCTTTGCCCTAACTTCTCATTCAGCTTTTCAAGTGGTTTTGACCTTAGGAAAATAAAGGCCATTATTGCGCCCATTCTAAAACCTCAACAGGAACCTTTTTCAAATGAGCACAATCTTTTCTTAAATTTAGTCTTGTTACTATCGGTATGACTTACCCTGATATTTAAGAATTAATTTTCCATGTGTTAATAAAATGCTAACATAAAAGAAACATTCCAATAAATAATTATCTCATCAAGAGACTGTCGTAACTAAAATTATCTGTTTTAAATATTAACTGTGAAAAAGACTAATAATACGAAATGTTTATAAAGATTAAGAAGAACTACAACTCTCATACATTGCTGGTGGGAATATAGTATGGTACAACCATTTTGGCAGCTTCTAATAAAGTCAGACCTATGCCCTTCTTACGAACCAGCACTCTCTCCTAGGTATTTACTTGATACAAAGAAATGTTTAGATACTTTGTGCAAGAAAGCTCACAGCAGCTCTATTCACAACAGCCAAATAGTTCAATGAAAAAAAGGAAATTTGAGCACTAAAAGTTGAACTGTAATGACAAATAGTTACCAACCTTGAGATTTGGAGTTTGAGTTTGATCCACAATAAATCTCATCAAAATGTTAAATTGTTGATCAAATGGAAAGGAATCCCTAGGTATAAAAAAATAAAAGTGCTTGTTTTTAAAATAAAGACATATTACAAGGAAGAATGTAAAACGACATAAGAAACAAAAAACATCCTTTGTTTTGGATGTCTGTAATGTAGTAAAGGAGTCCTGGTGTGAGGCTGTAGCATAACCAACTGGACTGAAAGTTCAGTTTGAACTGCAAGGTCGGTGGTAGAAACTTACCAGTCACTACCTGGAAACCCTATACAGGCCACTATGAGTCGGAACCGACGTGACAGTACTTAACAACGACAACAACGCAGTAAAAACATACCCATTCACCTTTACAACATAGTACTGGCAAATGATAAGGCCTATTACAAATACTAAAGCAACACATGCTTACATGGAATATTTCAAAAAAGGAAAATGTTAAACTTAGACTTCCAAAACATATACTAAATTTTCTTTGAGTATTTAAAAAATTAAGACCAAGCAATAAACTAAGGAAGGTATTCCTACCCATCCTCCTAAGGATCTGTTCATCTTCTCTACAGAATAATGCGGACATGAAACCCCTCCATTTCTCAAACTGTATTTTCAGGCCCTGACTAGGTGCCTAGAGCTGACCCAACTAGCTGTATTAGCTTCATTGGTCATGACTTGTCATTGCTTAGAATCTTATCTTGTATAGTTCACCACAAAGAGTGCCTGTGAGATGTTCTGTAAAGAAAAAGTCCCCATTCATCCTCAGCCCTTAGGAGTTCCTTTTCTTGTTTCACTTCTTTCTTGCCTGTTTTCACCTGTTTCTACCTATAAAGAAGTCAAAGTGTTACCCTTCAGAACTGTAAGAAAACAAAATTCTGTTCTTGAAAGCTGCTCACTTATAGGATTTATGTTACAGCAGCATTAGCTTAAAACTGTATAATGGAGCCTTGTATGGACAATAAAGGAGCTCTGGTAGTGTGGCGATTATGAATTGGGTTGCTAACCTCAAAGTCAGCAGTTCGAAACTACCAGCAGTTCCGCAGGAGAAAGATGAGGCTTTCTGCTCCCGTAAAGATTTACAGCCTCGGAACCCTGTAAAGGGTCACTGTGAGTCGGAAGCGACTCCACGGCACACTACCACCACCACCACCACCACCATATGGACAATAAGGATATGCTTTCCATACTAAAAGAAAATACAGTAAAATAATCTATTATAATGGAAGTTAAGTGATTAGATCAATTTCTTAGGATTTTCAGAGACTTTTCTCAATCTATAGAATAAAAAATATAGTAAAAAGAACAGGGGTATAGGTTCAAATCTATAAACTGAAGCAATTGAGACCTACCTTACAGACCAATTTGACAACTGAATAATTTACTTAAAAAGAAAAATATAAAGTGCATGACACATACTAGATGCTGGTATACTACATACTGAGGCACATACTAGGTACCATTACAATGTCTGAAAAACTGTAAATGTGACCAAATAGCATCTTGTTTGTACTTAATAAGCTCTGAAGTACCACCTCTGGAAGCAAAGTACACATTAGTATTCATGGTTAAGTCAGTTCTTGATTTCTTTACTGATGCATTTAGTGACTAACGTTATATTAGAGAGACAAGATTGAAAAAGCATACACAAAATGCCTACCTTTCTTCATAAAGGGTGGATGTCTAATGCATTTAACTTAACAACTGTATTTAAACCTAGACATGTGCCCTCTTGTGGGCAAAATTATGAAAACTTCTTGTTGTTGTTGTTGTTGGGTATTACCAAACCTATGAGTTGCTGGGTCTAGGAGCTCAGGAAAATAGTTTGGGGGCACACCACAGTCAATTAGTATCACATAGTCCCCAAAGAATATGTTCTACATCCTACTTTGGTGACTAGTGACTGGTATCTTAAAAGCTCATGATTGGCCATATCTAATGTACAACTATTAGTCTCTCCCTGTTTAAAGGAAAGAAAGGTGATAAAAATTGAAGACATCTGAAAACGCTAATGGAACACATGAACATCAGTCTTCAGGACCCTGAAGACCAGAAGTAGTTGGTACCCAGCTGCCACTACCAACAGCTCTGAAAGAGATTACATTAAAAGGTCCAGATAGAATAGGAGAAAATGTGGAAAAAGTAGAAATAATTAAAAAGGAAAAAAAAAAAAAAAAAGCCCAGGCTTACTGGTCAGATAAAAACTGGTAGAACCCCTGAAACAAGGATCTTTGGTCATCCTTCAGGTCTGGTACTGAACTGCTCCTTGGCCCCCCATGGCTGAATTTTAAACCAAGTAATAGATAGGGATGGGGATGGGGAGGACAGTAACAATAGTGAGGTATGCACAACACAAAATGATCAACCATTTGAGATTAAAAGGGCATCATTTATCTAAGAACAAAATTTAAAAGGGCTGTGAAAGATGGAGGACTGGAACCAGGAATCACAGGGAGGAAGTGGGATAAGTGATGTTACATCAGATAGCAGCTGAGAGGAAATGAAGTGCAAGATTTGTTGAATGCAAAACTGAAGATCTGCTCTGTAAACTTTCACTCAATTCACAATCAAAAGCTTTTAAAAAGAGAAAAGAGATGTGCCCTGTTGTAAGTAAGGCACAAAGACACCACAGATTAACCCTCAGGTCTACAACCTAAAGTAAGTAATCACTGAAGCCTCTTCGTTCTCTTGATTCATCCCTGACTGACTCTATCTAGAGAACCTTGTTGTTGTTAAGAACCTCTGAGTCGGTTACGACTCAGGGTTTCCAAGGTGGGTCTGAATCATCAACCATGTGATTAGCACAACATAACGTAGTCCCCCCAAAAGAATACGTTCTACATTTTCCAGTGCCACACCAGCTTGTGATGGTTATGTGCTGTGGAGTCGGTTCCGACTCTTATCAAGTACCAGGTTTCCTGGCTGCAATCTTTACTGAGTTTCCGAGACTGTAAATCTTTACGGGAGCAGAAAGCCTCTTCTTTGTCCCACAAAACAGCTGGTAGTTTTGAACTTCTGACTTTTGAGATCAGCAGCCCGATTCGCAACCATTATGCTACCAGAGCTCCTTGCCACACCAGCTTAAGGAGCTATATATCTCAGCTGCTGAGAAAAAAACAGGACATAATGAAAGTGCTTTAGGAAGTCAGGTTAACTCTTATTAAAACTGTGATTCTTAAAGGAAAGAGGCATCCAGGAAACTTGTAAGATACAGCTGATTTCCTTAATCCCCAATGCTTAGGAAAACAGCCATAATATTTCCACCACCCTTAAATATCTGAAATGGATCTTATCACTCATAAATTGACAAAATGTAATCTATAAGACAAATCTGGCTACACGTTTTTAATTTGGCTTCCAATGTCATAAAATTTTTTCAACTGTGTTCTTCAAATCCACATTCCTGAACTGTCTTGAAAAACCCTCACCCCAACATGGCCATAACTGACCAGAATTCTGCAGTAACCACATAACCCCCCTCACCTGCCTTCTTCATTCATGTCTGCTGTACCAACCTCGCCCCTAGGGGAAAAGTCAAGTCTAAACCTTTATAAGTGGTATAGAGCAACACACCCACTGCGCATCATCATCCACCCAAAGGAGTAATGAAGTTTGAAAGTCTATCATAAATGAATGCTTTGAGTTCATTAAAACTCCGAAGGAAATTTTGGATAATAGAATTCTAAGGCACGGCAAATTTTATAAAGATGCACATGGCCAGGACCAAAAGAAAACAGCTGGCATCACAGTGCAGAAACACAAATAAAAGTCTTCAAAGCCCGGATCCAAATATTGGCTCTAGCTTATTTACTGTTCAGACAAATGAAAATCTCTGTGTATCTCTGCTTCCTTACCTATAAAATACAGAAAACAAAAGAACCCACTCATAGAATTGGAAAGACTGATATAAGACTTGAAAGTGCTTAGTGTCTCCCATATACACTGGCTTTGTAAATAGAAGCTGTTATTATCAATAACATGAATTAAAGGAAACAATAGATACGTAAGAACAACTGTGGATTTCTCTTGGCTGCTAAAAGAAAACTTGCATGACCAACTGGAAGGAACTCTGGGAGGAAACCAAATATCTGGTTTCTAGCCTGTATGTCATCATTCACGGACTCTGAGAAAGTCAGTACAACCTCTCTGGGTTTTAGCTTGCTCATCTGTAAACTAGCAAGAATGAGCCATATATCCAAAAGTTTCTTTTAATCCATCTGGAAGATTTAGCCCTGAAGATACTATTCATACTCTTTAAGGGAAAAATAAATACCGTCTTAAGATTAAAAGACATGTAAATCCCAGTAATAGTGATCACATCATATGTTATGACAGTTGCCCTGTTAGATAATTATACTATGGCCCAGAACCACTTTATGTCTTGGTCTGCCTCTACTACAGTGGAATGGACACATGTAAAAAAAGAAACAGAATGACTCTAGGTCTCTTAGGAAATTATCTTCAGGGCGATAACTAAAACAATCAGGGCCTAAAAATGGGACCAGTTGTTACCCCCCTCACCACTCACCCTACACTTTGATTTCCCACCATAATCCCTGGAAGTGTGAATGTCCATAAATATGATGAGATATTATGCTCAAGAACATGGTAGTGTATTCATGAATAAGTTAGTTATGTGGTAAATATAAGACTTTGTAAATGTAATTATGGTTATTCATCAGAAGGTCTTAAACTAGGGAGATTACCCTGGAAGAGGTTCCTGAGTGGTACAGATGGTTTATACTTGGTCGTTAACTTAAAGGTGTGGTTTGAAATCTCCTCGCAGCACGACAGCTACCACTCATCTGTCAATGTGTCATACTGTGCTGGCTTGCGTGTTGTTGTGATGTTGGAAGCTATGCCACTGGTACTTTAAATGCCAGCAGACTACACCCATGGTAAACAGATTTCAGCTGAGTTTCCAGACTAAGCCACACTAGGAAGGAAGACACTCGGATATTTAGTCATTGAAAATCTTATGAATAGCAGTGGAACACTGTCAGAAAGCACCAGGATATTGACTGTTGAAACATGATGAAGAGCATGAGAATACTGTCAGATAATCGGGCTGCGAACCTTAAGGTCAGCGGTTCGAAACTACCAGCTGCTCCGCGGGAGAAAGATGAGGCTTTCTACTCCCGTAAAGATTTACACCCTCGGAAACCCTGTACAGGGTCGCTATGGGTCGGAACCGACTCGACGGCACTTAACAACAACAACAATAGTGCCAGAAGACGAGCCCCTGAAGTTGGAAGACACTCAAAATATGAATGGGGAAGAGCTGCCTCCTCAAAGTAGAGTTAACCATGATGACACAAATGGAGTAAAGCCTTTGAGATCTTCATTTGCTGATGGGGCACAACTCAAAATGAAGAGAAACAGCTGTAAACATCTATTAATGCTCAGAACATGGGATATATGAAGCATGAATCTTAAAAAATTGGAAATTATCAAAAATAAAATGGAAAGCATAAACATTGATATCTTAGGCATCAGTGAGCTGAAATGGACTGGTATTGGCCATTTGGATTCAGACAATCACTTGATTTACTATGCCAAGAATGAGAAGTTGAAGAAGAATGGTATCACATTCATCATCAAAAATAACATTTCAAGATTTATCTGGAAGTACAACCCTGTCTATGATAGGATAATATCCTATAAAGCAGACCAATTAATATAACTATTTTCAATTTTATTCACCAACCGCTAAAACCAATGAATACAAAATTGGAGAGTTCTACCAACTTCAGTCTGAAACTGAATAAACGTGCAATCAAGATGTATTGATAATTACTGGCAATTGGAATGCAAAGGTCAGAGAAAAAGAATGACCAATCATTGGAAAGTAAGGTCTTGGTGATGCAAACAATGCTAGATAAAATTTTGCAAGACCCTTGACTTTCATATTGCAAATACCTGTTTTAAACAACAAAAAAAAAAGATGACTACACACATGGCCCTCACCAGATGGAATACACAGAAATCAAATTGACCACATCTGTGGAAAGAGACAGTGGAAAAGCTCCATAACATCAGCCCAAACAAGGTCAGAGGCAGACTGTGGAACAGACCATCAATTGCTCACATGCAAATTCAAGCTGAAGCTGAAGAAAATTAAAACAAGTCCATAAGAGCTAAAATACGACCTTGAACATATCTCACCTGAACTTAGACAGGATATCTCAAGAACAGGTTCGATGCATTAGACACTAAAGACCAAAGACCAGAAGAGTTATAGGAGAATATTCATACTACTGCAAAACAGACCAATTACTACAATTATTATTCAAATTTATGATGTCAAGATCATCAGATGGGAAGAACCCAAAAGGTAAAGACAAGAAGGAAAAAGTCTAAAATGGATGTCAGAAGAGACTCTGAAACATGTTCTCCAGTGTAGAGATGCTAAAGCAAATGGAAGAAATGAGGAGGTATGAGAACTGAATGGAATATAGCTAGGGCAGCTCGAGAAGACAATGTCAAATATTATAACGAAATGTGCAAAGAGCTGGAGTTAGAAAAGCAATAGGGAAGAACATGCACAACATTTCTCAGTGTCTCCTTCTGTAGTGCATAGAGTGGATACCAACTCGATAGCACCTAACAACAACTACAACAGTAGCACCACAGAAGAAAGCCATGGTGACCTGCTTCTAGAAAGATTACAGCCAAGAAAACCCTGTGAAGCAGTTCTGCTCTATAACACATGGGGTCAACATGAGTTGAAATTACTTAACAGCAATCCAATCAAATGAGCCCTTTGAAAGCAAAGCATTTTCTCTGGCTAGTGGCATAAGGAAGGAGCTCTGGTAGCGTAGTGGTTACGAATCGGGCTGCTAACCTCGGGGTCAGCAGTTTGAAACTACCAGCTGTTTCACAGGAGAAAGATGAGGCTTTCTGCTCCTGTAAAGATTTACAGCCTCAGAAACCCTGTAAAGGGTTGCTATGAGACGGAACTGTCTCCACAGCACATCACCACAACCAGTACCACCACCAGTGGCGTAAGGAGAAATGCGAGTGATACAAGGAGTCTGGCGCACAGGTGGCCTCTAGGCCCAGAAATTTGTCCCCAGCTACTGGCCTGCAAGGAAATGGGTACAAAGAACTAAATTCTGCCAACAACCTGAATGGCTCTGAAAGCAAACTGTTTACCAGCACCTTGATTTCCGCTTTGTGAAACCCTGAGCATAAAAGTCTATCAAGCCCACCTGGACTAGAGACCTACAGGCTTTTCAGGAGGTGTTGTTTTAAGTTGTTAGTAAATTTAACAGCAAAACAAAACTGGCATCAATCACTTCAGTTTGTAGCAAGTGGATCTTGCAAAAGTCACTGCCTCCACAGTTTTCAGAGGGATCCTGAATTATTTCTTTGTTCTTTGAAAACCCCACAGATGTGGCACATTCTTCTCCATCTCCCTCCCACCAAATCAAAACCACATCAATTTTGCAAAGTTTCTTCATATACTTGTTTAGGATCTAAAATTGTTAACTCAGTGACACATTTCTGAACAAGGACATTTTACAGCTGAACCCTGACAAATTTCTTTTCTCACAGCAGCAAGAAGAATCAATTGCTGAGTATTTTAATCCCTAAGCCAATAAACTATCAATTCAGACTGTTCCTGCAGGAGTGGGAACCTACAGCATTATCCATAGTCTGGAGTCTTCAGAAAGATGTAAACAATCATTTACAAACATAGTCAGAGAAGAGAGGTAGCTTTCAAAGTTACACATCTGCTTTTACATTTGTCTGACAGATTCATACAAATAGTACCGAATCAGGGAAGATGGGGTATTTCACTTTCTAAATGGATGGGTGGATCATGTTAACAAACATATGAACAAGAGGACATGGAAATTGAATAACAGAACACATACTCAAGTGGTGACAAAGGTCATAGATAACAAAGGAGAATGGCAAGAATATTTTCCAATGAGAATGGCAAGAATATTTTCCAATCAAAGTCATCTTTGTTACCAACCTTTGCATTTTCAGTCACTATTCATTATCAATATATCTTGATGGCGTGTTTCATCAATTTTAAGAGTATATTTATATTCTTGGTATGACAATGTGGGTTAATGCACGGGAAATGCAAATTCTCAAAGGGTTTGAAGCGCTGAGAGAGAAGAAATTGAGTGCTGTCCTGGTTGGAAGCTGCTCTGACTGAAGAACTGTATCCTGGCTCCAGAATTGTATTGTTACTTTCAAGTTGATACTTTCCCAAGTTGTAGCATATTACTTCCCTAACAAACTCACATAATATTTAAAAAGAGAGAGAATGGCAAGAAACCACCTGAGAGTCTTGGAACATTAAAGTGGTCTCCTTAAACACTTACCTTGTTATATCTAAAGCCTTCTGAACTTTTGCTTGCACAGATCCAAGTAAATCTGCACCCATTTTCTTGAGTAATTGTGTGAGAAGAACAAAAAGCCAGTCTTGCAAGTCATCTTTATGAATTATTATAAAATCCACAAGAGTTTCTAGAAACATACTGAAAACCTGTAAAAGTGACACAAATGAAAACCGTATTATTTCATATATTTAATTCACGATTTCATCGAATGTCTATAAAAGATTAAGAATGCCCATATGGGTTTTGCCCCGAGTTTTTTTGTTATTGTTAATAATGTTTATTGGGTTTTTGGTGAAAGCTTATACAGCAAGCTTTCCTATTTGACAATTTCTACACAAATTATTCAGTGACATTAGTTACATCTACGTATGTCAACATCCTGTTTAACTGTGTTCTATATTTCTTTTCCTATTGTGACCCATTCAAAATGGTCAATGGTGATAGCCAGAAATCATCAAGTTCCTCTGGTCTCAGGATAGATGAGGTTATTTTCTTCAAACTCTTGTAATTCTCATACTACTTTTAATGGCTGTTCACATTAAGAATGTATATTTATTACAGAAAACAGATAAAGGAAAAAAAAAAAAAAAAAACCGACTGGAACTTACTCTCTGTTGTGAATTCCACCGCAAAGCAGGCCATGCAACAAAACAAATTCAATGTTAGTCACAGTGAATTAATATAATTTTCATGCAGTTTCTTTAAAAAAACTGAAAAAAATCTATAAATTGATCAAATACTCTCCTCTCCTTCAATATATTGCTGTTGTGTGCTGTCAAGCTGATCGTGACTCACAGCGAGTAAATGTGGCAGACAGACCTGCCCAATGTAATTCAGAGGCTCTAAGCTTTAAAAACAGCAGATGGCCAGGCCTTTTCTCCTGTGGAGTAGCTGGTGGGTTCAAACTGCTGACCTTTGGTTAGTAGCTGAATGCTTAACCATGATGCCACCAGGGTTCTTTTCCCTCAACATGTTGTTGTTAGATACCGTTGAGGTGAGCCAGTTCCAACTCACAGTAGCCCTATATAGGGTTTCAGTGGCTATAAATCTTTATAGGTGCAGAATGCTTCATCTTTCTCTGGCAGAGCAGCTGGTGGGTTTCCAGTTCCGTGCTTGTTCTACAGTGCCACCAGCACACCCCGTCCCTCAATACAAGCCTTCAAAATACAGCGTAGAGACGAATAAACTTTGTATGACTTTAATCTGTAACATAGGTCCTAATTCTCTACTATCACTTTTCACTAGCTAGCATTCAACAGCCACTCCTTGGAAACCCTTTACAGGGTAGCTATGAGTTAGAACCGACCTGACGGCACTGAACAACAACAACAGCAAGCAAAGTATATTTTAGGAGGAGCCCTGGTGTGGTGCTGCAGGATAATACACTGGAGTGCAAGGTCGGTTCAAAAGGCAAGGTCAGTGGTTCAAATTCAACAGCCACTCCTTGGAAACCCTATACAGGGACACTATGCGTCAGAACCGACTCTACGGCACTTAACGACAACAACATGTATATTTTAGGCATCTGTTTTTGATACATGCTAATTCAGATGGAGTACTGGTGCTGTAGGATAAGCACTGGACTGCAAGGTCGGTTAGAACTGCAAGGTTGGCAGTTCAAACTCACCAGTCGCTCTTCGGAAACCCTATACAGGGTCGTTATGAGTCGGGCTTGACTCGAAGGCACTTAACAACAACAATTTCATGTACTATAAATTGAATCAAGATTGTGACTTAGAACAAAAGGTATGGACAGTTCACATTTTTCTCCTGCTACTTTGTCATCATCAGCACTAAGGTTAACTAGAATCTACAGGTTCATGTCCCAGAGCTACTTCAGAGAGAGAAGTAGCACTGTGCTTCCCTACCAGGCTAATGAGATTTCCTCTACTGGGACAACCCGCCACCATGTAACGACTCAGTCTCTCAGGAGACAATTTGGAAGAAAGGAAATGAGACCCAGCTGTGGGACCCTTGGTTTTGCTCAGAGGCCGAGGCAAATAGTAACTAAACTGGGACCTCCAAACTCACTGTACAAAAGCCTTGTGATGGAAACAAATTTCCTTCTTTATCCTCAAATTCTGGTTCTGAATCAGCAATCTAGAGATGACAGGTAACAGAAATTTCATCAATGTCTAAAAACATCTAATAACCCTATGGTATACATCTTTTTATGCTTATATGCTGTGATTCTTACTACTTTTAAGACTATCTTAAAGAAAAGTCTTGATAATCATTACCTTAAATGGTTCTTAAACTTAACCTTTCTTGCATTTTGGATTTTATCAATAATGTTAGTGTTAACCTTGCTGTGAGGGTCAGTTAGTGGATTTTAAGACTTGCTTCGAGACCACTGTCAAGTGAGAGAACTGTCGAAGGGAAATAAAAAAAGTAGAACCCTAGCAAACATCTGCCTAAGTTTTGCACAAGCATCTCAAAAGGCAGGGACCGTAGCTTATTTTCTGCATCTCTAACCCAGAGCAGGTACTGAGTAAATGGTGAAGGGTGGATGGATGCATGGGTGTCTGAAATGTCAAGGACAGTTCCTATGACAGACAAAGAAGGAAGGGAAATGACAATAACCAGTTTCTTTCTACCAGCATGATCTGGAAGATACCTTTTTTTAAAAACTAGGAAAACTATAAAATAGTTAATCTTGTTTTTAGAAGATTTAAGAGAATAAGGTGGACTAAACAGATGCACTACCTGGACCCTCTACAAAAAAGACTTGTTGCTGTTAAGTGTTGTCAAGTTGGTTCTGACTCAGTGACCGTGTGTTGGGTTTCTGGGGATACAACAAAGATATGAGATAACAAATGTAACAGATACAGGTGAAAATCTGAGAATCCTGAACTCAAAGGAAAGGTTACAGAAGTGGACCGAGTGCCTGATGGGAGGAGAAGCTGAGCAGGGACCTCGCCAGCCAACTGCAGCGCGACCATCTTGAACATTCGTGAGCAGCTTTGGTGACAGGTGGTGGCCTGGTAGAGCAGATTCACACAGATGACAGGGACCAGAGATGAGGTCAGCTCCCACCCTCACCCACCCTCAGTGAAGATATTGCTCTCTGGGAGTTTGGAACCGAGTCAGTGTGAGGCAGCTGTGCTGCATTGGTTGGGCTTGGCTCCAGACTTACAGAATCCATAGAGCTATCAGACCAGCAACACTCTAGCAGAAAACCTCTTAACAGCCACCCTGCCCCCAGCTGTGCCATGGTACTAACAGACGGTGAAACCAGCTCCATCAAAAGCTTCAAGGAACTGACTCTGGACTGAGTGCCCGGAGCACAGACAGCACCTAGGCTGACAGGAATTCCATCCTGGGGCCAGGAACTCGGCTTCTACATCCCTCAAGCACCCACCTCCTGAGCTCCTTGGTTGGCAGAAGCCTCCCAGAGTTTTCTTCTCTCTGTGACCAATAGCTGCAGTGTTTTCTTTGTTTATTTATTTATTGTTTTGGATTACTTCTTTTGTTGTCTGTTTTTTGTTCTCCTTAATTTTTCCACTCCCTTGAATTTTATCCATTTTATCTCTATTTTCATTTATTCTTTTTTCCCCTTCCATTGTTCATTTCCCCTCTTCTGCTTTTCCCCCCTTTTATCTTTCTTTACTACTATCTACTGTCTTTCTCTTTGTCTTCCCTATGCTTGCTTTTTCTAGGTGCCCTATTTGGTCTTAAAATTTCTCCCATTTATTTTCTCTCCTACAGCTCCAGTTTCCTATCCCTCTTTTCTTTTTTTAATTATTATATTCTTTTTTCTGGTTGCTCTCTTGGTTTTTGTTCCTTTTTTCTCCTTTATTATTTTCTCTTTTCGTTGTTGTTTGTTTGTTTGTTTATCCTATTCTGTCCCCTACGTGTATGTGGAGGAGGAGAGTTCCGACTTCTTTCTACCTGACAGAAGACAGCAACCATGCCCATACAGCCCAGTTATAACAGTACCCACTGCAGCTCCAACCACTGGGAAAAAGCCAACACCAGCTCCTATACCACCTGATCAATGATAGACTTCTGCCAACACCAGTCAAAAACACCCTAAACGGAGGTGGGAAAATGGAGAATGCTACACATGCTTCTATTCTTTAACTGCACTCACAGAAGACAGTTGCTGAGAGCCTAAGAACACATGAACATACAGTCATCAATTAAATTCAAATATGAACCCACCACCTTTCCTGGGACACAACAGACAATTTTAGCTCACACAAAGAAGTAAGAAAGAATGGCTCAAACAAATGACCAAGATGTGGAACCAGAAAATGTTTCTGAGAAAAAGGTAATATAAGCAATAGAAAATCACTTCAACGGACTGATATTTAGGTACCTTCAAAGGATTCACAGAAAAAAACTTAGAAGAATTCAGGAAAACAAAACAAGAACAGATGAAATACATGAAAATTTTAAGACAATACAAAACACATAAGATTAATACTAAGATTTTAGAAATGCGCAATACACTGATAGGGCAAAAGCGTAGATTCCAAGCAATGGAAGCATGGCTTAGAGAGTTTGATAAGCTTATCTCTCAATGCTAAAAGAACAATTAAAAAAAAAAGGGGGGGGGGCGGAGAAAATCTAAACAACGTCTAATGCTTATGTGGAACACCATGAAAAAGAGTAACTTAAAGGGGATTGAAATTCCCAAACAGGAAGAGACGAAAATTTTGTTGGAAGAAAAATTTCCTAACATCATGAAAACAAGCAGACAATAAGCTGAATGAACCCCACATAGGACAGACCCTAAAAAAGTAAATCACCAACACATATCATAATCAAACTTTCCAAAACCAAAGACAAGAAAAAACCTGGGAGTGGCTAGAGAAAAATGGAAGAGTTACCTACAAAGAAGAACCAGTAAAACTAAACTCTGATTTCTCAGAAGAAGCTATGCAGGCAGGCAAGAAAGCAATGGGATGATATGTACAAAGTATGAAAACTGCTATCCAAGAATTATATACACAGCAAAAGCTGTCCCTCAAATATGATGGTGAAAGTATGACATTTCCAGGTAAAAAGAAATCAAAAGAATCTGTAAGTAACAAGCCCAAGTTTACAAAAATACTAAAGGGTGTTAATTTGGACTGAGAACCAACAACACAAGACAATAACCTTAGTAAGATGGACATGCATGAAAAAAACACCCAGAACTCAATCTAGATACAAAAGTATTTAAAGTACGACAAACCTAGAAGACTGAAAATAGGGACCCAAAGATAGTAATATAAACTGATACCAACTACAAAGCTAAAAAGAGGGAAGAAATAATGCAGATACAGAACTTCTAAATGATGAGGAAGGCAAGTATATTTTAAAATAAAATTAACTATTTTAAATGGGGAAAATTTAGTAAAGTACAGAGCAATCTCAAAGAAATCGCCACGTGTCTGTCAGACTATCATACTGTGGTGGCCTCCATGTTGCTGTGATTTGGAAACTATGCCAGTGGTACTTTAAATACAAGCAGCAGGGTCACCCATGCTGGACAGGTGTCAGCTGAGCTTCCAGACTAAGACAGACTAGGAAGAAGGAGAAATGGACTACTTCCAAACATTTTAGTTACTAAAAACCTTATATACAGCAACAGAATATAGTCCAATACAGTGCCAGAAAATGAGCCCGTCAGGTTGGAAGGCACTCAAAATGCGACTAGGGAAGAGCTGCCTCCTCAAAGATGACTATGATGACATGAATGGAGTAACCTTCAGGACCTTCATTGGCTGATGGGGACAACTCAAAATGAGAAAGAACTGTAAACATTAATCATCAGAACATGGAATGTACAAAGTACAAATTTAGGAAAACTGGAAACAGTCAAAAATAAAATGGAAAGTATAAACACTGATAACCTGGGAATTAGTGAGCTGAAATGAAATGACATTGGCCATTCGGTATCTGACAATCACATGGTTTACTATGCCAGGAATAACAAATTGAAGAGAATAGTATCACATACATCATCAAAAAGAAAATATCAAGATATATTTAAAGTACAGCGCTGTCTGTGATAAGGTAATATCCATACATCTACAAGAAAAACCAATTAATACAACTTTTACTCATATTAACGCACCCACCACTAAAGCCAGTGATGACAAAATTGAAGAATTCTATATAATCAAGAGGTATTAATAATTACTGGTGATTGGAATGCAAAATTGGAAACACAGAAGAAAGATCAGTAGTTGGAAAATATAGCCTTGGTGACAGAAACGATGCTGGAGATCACATAATGAAAGTTTGCAAGACCAATAATTTCTTCACTGTAAATACCTTTTTAAACAACATAAAAAGATGACTATACACATGGACCTTTCCAGATGGAATACCTAGAAATCAAACTGACTACATCTATGGAGAGAGAGTGTGGAAAAGCGCCGTATTATCAGCCAAAACAAAGCTAGGGGCACAATGTTGAACAGACCACCAACTGCTCATATGCAAGTTCAGGATGAAACTGAAGAAAATTAAAACAAGTCCACAAGAGCCAAAATATGACCTTGAATATATCCCACCTGAATTTAGAGATCATCTCAAGATCAGATTTGATGCATTAGACACTAATAACTGGAAACAGTAATTGTTGCATGACACTAAGAACATCACATAGGAAGAAAGCAAAAGGTCATTAAGAAGACAAGAAGGAAGGAAAAGACCCAAATGAATGTCAGAAGAGACTCTAAAACTTGTTCTCCAGGACAGAGATGCTAAAGCAAATGGAAAAAATGAAGAGTAAAAGAGCTGAATAAAAAAATGTAAAGGGTAGCTTAGGAAGACAAAGTCAAATATTATAACGAAATGTGCAAAGATCTGGAGTAAGAGAACCAAAGAAAAAGAACACACTCCACATTTCTTAAACTCAAAGAACCAAAGAAAAAAATTCAAGCCTCGACTTGTAATACCAAAGGATTCTATGGGCAAAATATTGAATGATGCAGAAAGCATCAAAAGAAGATGGAAGGAACACAGAGAGTCACTGTAACAATAAGAAAAGGTCAATGTTTAATCGTTTTAAGAGGCAGTTATAATCAAGAGTCAATGGTAGTAAAGGAAGAAGACCAAGCTACATTGAAGGCACTGGCAAAGAACAAGGCTCCAGGAATTGATGGACACAAATTGAAATCTTTCAATAAACTGACACAGCATTAGAGGCAATCACTCATCTATGACAAGAAATTTGGCCAACGGATTGACAGAGATTCATATTTGTGCCCATTTCAAAGAGAGGTGACCCCAACAGAATGCAGAAATCATCAGACAATATCATCAATATTTTATGCGAGTGTAATTTTGCTAAAGATAGTTAAAAAATGGCTACAGGCGCACATTGACACGGAACTGCAAACTACAAAAAAATATTTAATTTTGCTTATTCTGTTTATGGTTTTATCAATTTCAGTATTTTAGTTTCTGTCCTGTAACTTTAACTTTCCTTTTATCCTTACACCCGCTTTCTTTTTCTGAGAGCACCTCACAGTCTCTAAAGGTTTCTTCCCAAATGATGATATATATTTAACATCTAGACTCAAAGTAAACTTCTATAAAGGGTTCTTCTCTCAGCAGGACCCCTCAAAACAGTGTTTTCTCTTCAGCAGGGAAATCCTGGACAAAAAGGCCATGATCCCTTGGCCGCAGGAGGTATAAGCATCAGCTACGTGACTACTTCTTTTAGATCTAGCAAGCTCTTAGGGATAGCAAAATTCTATCTGGAGAAATCACTTAACTTGATTCTTCAATTAATCCATCAAATAAATTATTCCATGTTTCCACCCAAATTCCATGTTAGTTATAAAATTTTTAAATGTACTACTCTTGATTTTCTTCCTAACTGCAACTTATATAAATATAATCTTACATACTAGTACCTAGCATTCTATTTGGCTAATAGGAGGTGCTCAAAAATATTTGCTGGGTGAATTAAAGACTATACCTTAATCTTTCCATAGTAAGTTTTACCTGATAACCACTTTAACTTCTTAACTGAAGTTTTATGGATGTTTGAATTTTCCAAAAATCATGTTTTTAAAAGATGAAGCATGTAATATTGTTGAAACTGGTGTTAAATTTGTAAGGTCTGAAGTGCACTCTGGGGAATTAACTCTCACTCTGGGGTAGTCAATTCCACAGCTTATACACACATGCAGACAGGAATATAAAGCTTCATTCCCAGACTCACCTTGCTATGAGGGTCAGCAAACATCCGGGTGAAGATCTCACACAATCTTTTCAGTTCTACTCGACTGGAGGAGGAAATGGAAATAAATGGGTTTAAATTCAATAAACCAGCACAGCAATTAGAAACAGCTTACTTAGCTCTTTAAAATTCTTACTATACAAGTTTTACATAATTTGCACTCATACAACTAACTTTCTTCACCAATGAATTATTTAATACCTGATGAAATTTAACAGGGATATGAACAGAACTGTGACAGACCTGCTCGTGTTTTAAGATAAGGAAACTAAGACTTAGAGAATGATTTACCCCAGGCTCACATATCTGGAAATGAATGGCAAAGTCATGAGTCAAACGGCATTCATTTCATTCCACATCTCTTTTCTGCCTTCCACAACTGAAAGGCATTAGCTAGAAAATAGCACAGGGATAGACACACCTGGATTTTAATCTCAGTAATTTTATAGAAAAGGTACTTTGATCATCTTTAAATCCCAGCGTCTTCACTGGTCACAAAGGTTTATACAGGTTCCTTCAAATGATTGCTGGAAGAATTACGAAAGGCAGTACACATCTTACCTCCAGCGCTGTAGGATAAGCAATGGACTGCTAATTAGGAGGTTGGCGGTTCAAACCCACAAGCCCCATTCAGGGTCACTAAGACTCAGAACTGACTTGACAGCACTTAACAACAACACCTACAAAGCATACGTTCATTTCATGTAAGCGCCATTTGCCTTTCTTTAGCTGTACTATTTGAGTCCCATTTTACTTTACAGAAAGGAGTCCTGGTTGCAAACTAAGTTAAGCACTGGGATGCTGACCAAGATGTTGGTGGCTGGAACCCACTCCCTGCTCCAGTGGAAAAAAGATGAGGCAACCTGGTTCTGAAAAGATTTACAGCCTTGGAAATTCCATGGAGAAGTTCTATTTTGTCCTAAAGAATTGCTATGAGTCAAAATCAATTCGATGACAATGGGTTTGGGTTGAGTTTGTACTTTAGGGCTTGTTTGAAGCCTAATTACCCCCTGAGTAATGCCCTCTCATGCAGACAAAGCAGTTCGTACAATGATCTTTCAATAATGTTACTGAAATTTAGATTAAGCCAACTCTGATTAATAGGCATCTAGAGATTACTCAAGGATATATAGTGAGTACTAAGAAAGGAGAAAGTGGGACCAGTAGGAATAAAAGATTCTTGAAAAACAATTACCATATTTTCTTTTTTTGACTGATTATCATTTTGTTGTTGCTAAGTGCCATCGAGTTGGATGGGACTCATAGCAACCCTGGATAGAGTTTCTGAGGAGGGGCTGGCTAACTGACCTCACGGTTCAAACCAACCTGCTTATCCTACAGTGTGACACCAAGTGCTTATCCTACAGTGCTAATCCTACAGTGTGAAACCAAGACTCCACAGATTAAGTATATTTCAAGAGGGCAAATGAGAAAAGCCTCTGATGACAGATTCATGAATAGAATGAATGAAGGGGCAAGAATACCTAGAATAAACCAGATTACTCAAGAGTTCCTAGGTGGGGCAAACAGTTTGTGACTTGGCTATTCACTGAAAAGCTAGCGGTTCAAACCCTCCTACAACATTCAGTACATCCTGACTCATTAATCAAAGATCACTTAGAATTACATTATCTACAAAGACCATACATAAAAGGGAGGCAGGAGATCTCATTTCCAGGTAATTTTTTTAATCTTAAAAAAAAAAAATCAAAAGGACGTAGTATATATACCATTTTCAAGTATTCTAAATTACCTACTTTTACACATTTTACCAACTCTGCAATTGAGATTCATCTTATAATCAATGACATCAGAGCATTTCTTCTTGTTGTTCAGGTACTGTTAAATCAATTCCAAATCATAGCAACCCTATACACAAAAGGAAATATTGACCCGCCCTGCGCCATCCTCACAATTGTTGTTACAATTGAGCCGACTGTTGCTAACAATGTGTCAAATCCGTCTAAGATCCACACAGTGAAATGCCTTTGCATAGTCAATAAAGCACAAGTATACAGCTTTCTGGTATTCTCTTTTAGCCATCTGACATCAGCAATAGTATCCTTTGTTTTAGGTCCTTTCCTGAATCTAGCTTAGATTTCTAACAACTTCCTGTCAATGTACTGCTATAACCATATTTTAATTAGCCTCATAAAAAATTTGCAGTGATGTTAATGATAATGTTCCATGATTTCCGCATTCTGTTGAGTCACCTTTCTTAGGAATGGACACAGAAATGGATCTCTTCCAAACAGCTGGCCAGGAACTAGTCTTCCAAATATCTTGGCATAGATGTGTGAGCGCCTCCAGTAATGTATCAGTTTGTTGAAAGATTTCAATTTGTAGTCCATCAATTCCTGGAATCCTGTCTTTTCTAAAAGACACTAAATGCCTTTAGTGTAGCTGGGACTTCTTCCTTCACTACCATCAGTTCTGGATCATATGCTACCTCTTGAATGGTTGAGCATCAACCAAGTCATTTTGTTAACAGTGACTGAGTATTCTTTCCATCTTCTTTCGATGCTTCCTGGGTGATTCAATAGTTTGGCCATAGAATCCTTCAACATTACAACTTGAGGCTTGAATTTTTTTCTTCAGCATGTTCTTTCTTTTCGGTTTTCTAAGTCCCAGCCTTTGCACATTACATTATAATACTGTACCTTACTTCTTGAACTGCTCTTAGAAATTTTTGTTTAACTTTTACTTCCTCATTTCTTCTTGTTGTTGTTGTTAAGTGCCGTCGAGTCGGTTCCAATCCATAGCGACCCTGTACAAGGTTTCCGAGGGTGTAAATCTTTACAGGAGTAGAAAGCCTCATCTTTCTCCCGCGGAGCTGCTAGTAGTTTCAAACTGCTGACCTTCAGGTTCACAGCCCGATTCGTAACCACTACACTACCAGAGATACCTGCTTTAATTTCTCTACATTCCAAAGCAAGTTTCAGAGTCTCTTCTGACATCCATCTTGGTCTTGTCTTTCTTTCCTGTCTTTTTAATGACCTTTTGCCTTCTTCCTGTATGATGTTCTTGATGTCATGCCACAACTCTTTGGCCTTTAGTCATTGGTATCTAATGCATTAAACCTGTTCTTGAGACAGTCTCTAAATTTAGATTGATTATATTTAAGGTTATATTTTGGTTTTCATGGACTTGTTTTAATTTTCTGAAGCTTCAGCTATTGCAGTCTGCCCTGGCTTAGGTTTTAGATGAAAATACTGAGCCTCTCTTTATCATCTCTTCCCACAGATGTTAGTCAATTTGATTCCAATGTAGTTCCTCTGGTGATGTCCACATGTATACTGCTACTTATGTTGTTGAAAAACGTTGCTTGCTATGAATAAGTTTTTGGTCTTGCAAAAGTCTACCATGAGATCTCCCGCATCATTTGTATTACCAAGGCAGGATTTTCCAACAAGTCTTCCTTTATGTTTCACATTATAATCACCAGTACTTATTAATGCATCTTTTTTTAAAGCTTTTATTGTACACTAAGTCACAGTTTGTTTACATGGCAGAACATCGGTTTTGCAGTCATCCTGTCATATTTTGTATCACTGTAATGATTACAATCCCATCCATGCATCATCATTCAACAATATTTGCTTCTATTCCCTAGTGTCTTTGTTTTTTTGTTCGTGTGTTTTGATGTACACAAAAACACTCAAGAATATATAATCATTTAAACAACCAAAGCCTGCCTCCAGGCCGCCAGTACACAGCCTCTTTCCATGAGCCTAGAGTCCTCAGTTGCTCTATCTCTTCATGTCATCATCTGTCTCCATTTCTGGTATTGCTGCTTCTCTGGATAGGGTCCCACATTCCACTGGTGCTCTTCTCCCTTGATGGTCCCAGGGTCCTCTGTTCCTAGATTGAAAAATTAACAACTCCCCCACTTTATTTTACAAAACTTCTACCTTTACAGTTGTGACTATTGCAATTATTAATGCATCTTGACTGCATGTTTTTTTCAATTTCAGACTCAACAAGTTGGTTGTTGTGAAGTGCTGTTGAGTCGATTCCAACCCGTAGCAACCCTGTACAGGGTTTCCGAGGCTGTGTATCTTTACAGGAGCAGAAAGCCTCATCTTTCTCCCATGGCATTGCTGGTAGTTTCGAACTGCTGACCTTGAGGGTCACAGCCCGATTCGTAACCACTACACTACCTGAGCCCCTTCAACAAGTTGGTAGAATCCTTCAATTTCATCATCACTGGATTTAGTGCTTATTTTGTAAATTTGAAAATCAGTGATATAAACTGTTCTTCCTTGTAGACGTAATGGTACTATCCCTATCACAGATATTATAGTATTGCAAGACAGAACTCAAAATGCTCTGATGATGACCTTAATACCATTCCTCTTCAGTTTGTCATTTCTGACATAGCAAACCATTCAAGTGTCCAACTGAAATTGACCAATACCTGGTTTCATGTCCCATTGTGGATCATGACAAGCTATGGACAACACTGAGGAGAATAAGTATTTTGGAACACTTAATTGTGCTCAAAAAGAACCTGTACATGGACCAAAAGGCAGTCATTTGAACAGAACAAGGAGACAGCAAATGTTTTAAAATTGGGAAAAGCGTGCGCCACTATCCATCCTGCCACTAATAACTGGAGCGGACTCTGACCACGGGGGTGCTAGAGGGAGCCAAATGTTTACTAAAACATAATAAATTAGAAACTGTTAGCCAAGCATTTCAAAGTCTCTGGAGGGCAAAGGACTATATCCTCATCATGTTAGTACCATCAGTTTCTGCACCAGGACCTGAAACTTGGTAAGGACTCCATCAATGACTGCGATGCAGTTTAATGCCTGATGAGTATGGCCCGGGATGCAATACTAGCTCACAATCTTTGTTCATGTCTCACCTCAGTGTTCTTTGGCTCTTCAGTAAGTTCTGCAGGCCTAGAAGTCCTTCTTTCCTTTCTGACCAGTTGGAACTTGCACAGTGGTTAAGCACTTCAGCCACATCCTCAGTCTGCCGGAGGTAATGGGGAATGCCACCATTCCTAGAGCCATATGAGCGCTCAGAGCAGACGCTAGAGGCATCGCTGTTGGCGTCGTCATCCGAGTACATTCCATAGGGCTCATATCTCCTCCTCACAGGCTTCTTCTTCCAGATCCAATGAGGGAAGGGGGTGATGGAGAGAGAGATGGAAAGGAGAAATAGGTTTACAGGCGTCATACCAATAAAAACCACCAACAACAAATATTCAAATACAAAAAGAATCACACACATTTTTCTGTTCTTCTAGGTTAGGGAATGAAAACAGAGAAGCAGTCTTCCAGGAGGTGAAGTAAGTAGTAAGCATAGCAACTTGTAGCAGATGACCTCTAGTGTTCATGGACTTTACAATAACACAGACAGGCCTGTGTTATGAACCTCCTAATCTTTCTGCTTCAGTTTCCCCATCTTGAAGACAATAATAAAGCCTCTTTCACAGATTTGATTATATGAGGTTTAAACATAAATATAGTTTAATAACTCAGCTCAACACTACAGGTTTATGTAGCCAAAAACCCTCCAATCAAAAGCAATAGATCATGACCATGGATTTATGAGTAAACTTGTTTGAACATTCAAGCTCCTTCAAGGAATTCTGAAATTTAAAACGTTGAGTAGCAGAAATAGTCTATATAAAAGGATTCTTAAATTGCAGAGTCACTTTTATTAAGGACTTAGAGTTTCTCAACACAAATGGGCTTCTTTTAAAAGTAGACTATATTGCCTGCTTCATTAATTTCTCTTACCCTGGACATAAAACTGTTAAGTTAAACCCATAAGTGATGGCTCTATATTGTTGTTAAGTAATATCGAGTCAGTTCAGACTCATAGTGACCCTGTATATAAAGTTTCTAACAAATGGTGAGTAGGTTTGAACCACCGGCACTGTGGTTCATAGTCCAGTGGTTACCCTACAGTGCCACACTAGGCTATACACGACTGATAAAATACAATTTCTCTAAAATCACTGTCATTGGATTCAGTCATATGAATGCAGTTCCTTAATCAGATAGCTTATACATGTGCCCCAACTTGCTCAGAACAGTTCTACTTTATGTCTACTGTCCCAGTGTAATTACTAATAGTACCTCCTTTCACTCTCCCAAGTATCTGGTTTGGAGGATGCATCATTCTACATATGCTGTCATTGCTGCTGTGTGCTATTGAGTCTGTTCCGACTCATAGTGACCCTCTTGTACAGGGATTCTGAGGCTGTAAATATCTGTGGGAGCAGAAAGCCTCATCTTTCTCCCACAGAGTAGCTTGTAGATTCGAACTGCTGACCTTTCAGCCCAACATGCAACCCACTATGCTACCAGAGCTCCTTGTCCTACTTACTTACACATAAACTAACTTCCTGAAATAAGAACGCTATCAAATAAATTCTTCCATAAAGTAATAACAATTTAAGAGTACAGTAAAATACAAATAGGATTAACAATAAAATGAAGCACTAGTAGGAAGAGGTAGGAGCCCTGGGAATAACATAGTGGAGTGCAAGCTGGGATGCTACCTGAAAGGTCAGTCGTTTGAATCTCCCAGTTGCTCCCATAAATACATACAGCCTCAGAAACCCTACACAGGGTCACTATGAGTCGGAACTGACTCGGTGGCACACCACCGCCACCATCATCAATAGGAGAAGGAGTAGAACTTGGCATTTCAAATAAAAACTGAAATATGTAATTAATTCCATCAGTAACAAAAGCATCACTAGATTCAACAAAATCGTCATTCAGAATTTCTTTCCTACATTTCTGTGGCTTTCACTAGTCCCTAAAGGAAATATAATTGCAACAGAAAAAATAAAGTTGTAAAACAAAAGTTAAAGCACTAGTACCTTGCTCCTGGAGTCTCCTAACAGCTGTAGGCAGGAAAATATTGAAGGACGGGGAAAAAGCATAGAGAATTATGTCAGAAGCATATGTAGGGACTGTTCTTGCAACAAAAGTGTATAGCAAACATATTTTAGCAAACCAAAAACATAGGTTAGCAGGAATTTCATATCAAGCAAATAATAAAGAATGTTTTCACGATGGTGTCTCCTACCATCTCTTCTAGGACCTTTCCAATACTTGCTATAATTCTGTCAGAACTCCCCCCATACCAGTGGGACACATCTCTGTCTACAGGGTCACCTCTGATGCCCCTGGTACATTCTGTCTGCCTGTGGTGCTTCTATTCTGTTAGGCAAGGATTCTCTACCGTGCCTGAACTTTCGCTTGTCCTGAAGCAGATCACTTTCCAAGACAAAGTAGTTTGGAGAAGAAAGAACAAGAAGGATTAAGTCAAGGATCTGATTAATAGCATGAGTGTAAAGGGAGCTAGGGCTCAGAGGAAAAAATGCAAGTAAAGTAAAGCCACAGCTCAAATTCTCAAGTCCCATTCAGCCTCTCAGAACTTTGCACACAGGCCCTATGTAGCTTTTTTAAATAACAAAGAAGTTCCCATGCCTTAAATGGAAGCCCCATCATTTCCCACCACTTTAACCTCCACTTCCTAGAGTTTCTGAGTAAATAAGAGACAGATTCCATGTGCTACAACTTGGATGGAGAAACAGGTTCACAGAATTATGTTCCAGCTCCTAATGAGAGTTGAACCCATGGTTAGAGCAACTACCCTCGACTTCAATACCTGTCAGGAAAAAAAAAAAACACCTTTACACATCTAAGGCTGATAAGTAGAGCTGAACAGGGAGTCCTTGCCAAAATGGAAAGAAAGCATTCTAGTAAGAGAAAACTGCTTGTTCACAAGATACATGTCACAGAAATCTGACTGAATAGGAACAAATGAGGGAAAGGGGTGATGATGAAATTCAGTGTAGACTTGGGCTATAAATTTTTGATCAGATGAAACATCGATGGATTAAAAATTCAGAGTCCAAAAGAAAGATACTATATCCATATTTCCTTACAAGAAAAAAAAAATCTTAAAACAGCAAAAGACAGGCCAGAGATCAAATCATTCTAAGTAATATCTATTCCATATACTAAGCACATAAACCAGAATATGCAAGAGGCCGTCCCAGTACCAGATAAAACACATCTTCAAAAAGGAACCCTTAAAAACATCGTATGCGGATTCTACCAAGGAACTTTCTGCTATTACCCTAAATTAAATATCAAGGCTACATAGACCACTTGATATTGATTTTTAGAGATTTATATCATAATGATGAAAAACCACATTCCAGCAGAGCTTTATGTCCTCAAAAAACCGACCTGAAAATTTAGGACGATTTCTCATAAAGACTTCAGGACCCATTTAAGCAACAACACAAAACATGTAGACCAAGTAATGCGGCATTGGAATAAATGCTAAGTTTTCAAACAGCAAATTCTATCACCTACTATTGTAATAATATGATTCAATTATGCCATCAAAGTATGCTAAGAGTGAAATAGGAAGCAATAGAATGGAAAAAGGGAAATAGGGGGAAAACATGGGTTTAAAAAAAGAAAAAGAAAGCCCAACGATACCTGAAAAGCCCAATGTCGTCAAAACTTCCCTGACACAGAGGAACATACGTAAGAAAGACTTGATGCTAAAATGTTCTGAAAGGAAAACTTTCACTTACGTGTAGAGGTAAAACTTTCAGAAGAAATCAATAATATAAATTTACCCAACATTTATACAATTTTAAGAGTATCAACGATTTAGTCACCCAACTTGGGGAAATTTCCTGTTAGGACTAAGAGCAACACATTTGAGTAACCCAGGGAGACTCTGCACATACTGTGCCTCTTACCAAAGCGTCAGCAACCGCAGCTTCCAGATCTGTACTTGTGCTCAAAACTCTCATGGCATTCACAGAACCAGGTATTCTTCCTGGCTGACCAAGCCCAAATCGGTCTATTGGAAAAAACAAAAGCAAAAGAGGTGTCACTTTAATTCAAATTCTCTCAGTTCTTTGCAAGGGCTAATGCCTTTCCAACCAATGGGACAGAGGTATTAAAAAGTCTCTAGCCAATTTTAACTACTATTGATTTGTTTACCTGTGGCAGACTTTAAGTTGCTCACAGTTAATTCTGTTATGCTACAGAACACTCTGTCAGCTAACATTGTTAATATTTTATTACTGAAAAATTTTAAGACATGGAAAAGAAAAGGGGATTTTAATTAGAGAAGGGGGGCTAAGCTATGATGTAAGTCTTTTAATCTATTTAGGTTTTCCCTCTAGAGACAGGTGACTTTGATACTTTGTCAAGCTAATTAGAAAGCTTCATGGTTTGACAAGTGACTTATACAGTAGTAAAACGTTAGAATTTGAAACAAATATGATAAATTGGTTTGTGTGCAAATTTTCATTAGTGTCAATACTGCTTAACCAATATAAAACTCAATTCATTTTGGGTACTTGTTCATCATCATGCCTGGGGTCACCAACAAAGATTTAAAAATAAATTTTATTAAAATTCCTTAATAGTCACCACAAAACTCCAGCATCTTCACGGCAAAATACATCATTCAGATGACATTCACTATAAATTTTACCTGAATCCTTCCAAGGATTTATGAATAATAATCTTTATACATGTAAACAAAATGAAAAGAATCCAAAGAATTTAAAACAAATTTTAGCAGTCCAGACTAAGCAGTTCTAAGCGTGCTAGCTGGAGAGTCAAACAACAGGAGAAAATCAGATAGGTTTCACTTCAAAAGTCCATCACACCATCTACTGGTGAGAAGTTTCAGAGTTAACATTCCAATGTACAAACACCTTCAGAAGAAAAAGGTTAACATTTCAAAAATGTTCCCTGTTAACTAATAAGACATTGTTTGGACAAGGAAAATCTTTATGTTAGCGAAGCATTTTGAACAGGGAGGATGCTAATATCTGTTTTATATGAATCTTTTCTATAAAATGACATAATTTCAGATTTATCATATCATCATCTAAAGTGGTGAACATTAAAGCTGATTTGTTACTTTCAGTTTCTAAAATATGTTTCAAAACTTTACACCTCTGAACACCACAGAAAAAGTAAATAATTTAAATACTGCTAACCAAAATAGTCGTATAGTCATGAGTTTTTATAAAGAAAGAAAACTGTATGTTTTACTATCCCCTTTTTTAATGCACTTCCTGGTCATACCGAATGTCATCTCACTCATTATGTTAAAAGGTCATTTAATGTGCCATATACACTAAGAGAAATTAAAGAAACAATGCAATTTACATATGTATATTTAAAGATATACATATTTATCAGTTAGAATAGAATAAAACTGAAAATTTGAGATTTTGCAAATATAGCATAGTTTTGTACATGATCTTTGTTCAAGTATTTTTTTCATTAAAAAAGGGTAGATAGTAGGGGATTCATGAGTAACAGAATGAAAATAATTCAGTTATAAGCCATCTAAAAGTTATCTAGCATAAACTTAAATAAAACTGAGTTTTGGGGAAAAAAAAAAAAAAAGATCTCATGCCAGCAATTCTTGCTCCAGGGAAATACTGATTTTTCAGACACAAAATTAAAACTTTAAGAACAATGCAATTATTCTGTGCTTCCCAAATGCATACGGCTTTGCCCTACACAGTGACTGTTGATCGTCTGTTAGCTATTATATATCATTTGAACTTAAAATATTAGGGGGAAATGTTTTCTGGATCTAAATACACAAAATCATAGATTTGTGTATTTACCAGACAGAAGTCTGTACTATGTTCTTACTGCTCTGATGTATTAAGTACTAAATTTCCCAAGAGATAGATGCATACTAACCATGTCCTCAGTCTGGCCCATAAAGTTTGGAGGAATGTATATATCACTATACAGAGCTAAACGCAGTTGCCTCCATTTATAAGAACAGAGAAAATCTCTCTCAGTGAATGGTCACCCTCAACAGTCTACAAATTAACAGATTATGCCTTATTCAATTGAGAAAACTGCAGCCATCAAGGACTGTTAGCACATCAAACTATCAGTTAAACTACGCAAACCCCTAAGGCTTACCAATACATTATTTGTATAGTTAAACCAAGCTGAGACAGAAGGTTTGGGGTCAGCAGACCGCTAAGGCTTGGACCACCTTGTGCCTCACGCGATTACCTGAATCCTGATTTTGTTTTTCCATAAAACATATCAGGACAATCAATTTAATTTTATACATATGATATTATATATAGTATGGTGGTGGTGGTCATATAGTATAGTTTGGAATATTTGGTAACTAGAAAGTACCTCAAAATAATCAGAACCTGATACTGATAACTAACACTAATTAATAATTGACCTGTTGGGAGTGAAGACTTTGGCGATGAGAGACTCTGTTGGATGATATGGGTACCCCATTTACCCACGGGGATCCTGCATAATACCTACTTTTGGTTGCTGTTTTCCTGGGGGAAAGGGTAGGGATAAGCGTTTTCTCATTTCTATTTAATTATTTATATAAATATGAATATTGGATAAGTGATAGTCTCAAATGGGCTACAAAGCATCTAAAAAAGACCTAATAAGACAACGATATAAACATTCAAGAACAGAAAAAATAAAAGCACACTGGGTACAAAATAATATGAAGTGCATACATGCCAAGTGCTAGCTGACACTGATGAAAACAATGTTTAATGGTATGAAACTAGAACGGATGAAGAAGCCAAGTCATGCAGTTAGCACTTGTTCACCTGACTGCCCAACAGATTCAGCAGTGGAGAGAGCACTAGTGGACCTGGAATGACGTCGAGAGGCTGCAGGTAAAAGGAATGGCAACACCCACAGGATTAACACAGAAGTACCCGAGACAGAGAATGCCACAGTCCAAAGGAAACACAGGGACTGCTACCAACAAGGCCACATTTTCTCATGGAAAGAAATGGTGCTGGATATAATTGGACATAAGTGTCAATCCCCAAACATCTATGGTAGCCTGCTGGCTTTCACACAGTGATTAAACACACAGGCACAACAAGGCACTCTTTAAGGTGTTCCAAACTAAGAATGCATTAACCGACTTGGACTCTGGGTTTATATTCACGCCATGAAGCCTCTATCAGCCATTATGGAAATATGTAACATGAAGAACACCAAGAGTCACTGAGCACCATCCAAATCCCAGAGTGGAACAGCAGGAAGATGGATTATTCACTCAGTTCATGAGATGTTTCATCAGTATGTGATGCATATGCAACCATGCACCAAAAACAAAAGTGTTCATAATGTATGTTCTTTGAACAGAAATCAATAAAATCACAGTAAGGAGCAGCTTAACCACTGGAATTCCGTTTTCTCCAGTCTGATTATAATGGCCATTCAAAATTTTAGTTGTTTTGAAATCTACTGAACATGCACAAATAAATTACTAATGTGCTAGTTATTTAATTGCTTTCTAATTATTAACTTACTTATAATAAGCTTTCTGATTTTCGGTGGAGAGGCAGTTGCACTGGTTGTGAACACTAGCTCTGTAATACCACTGTGTGCAAATCTTAGTTGGATCCCAACTAGCTGTAGAGCACCTCAAGCAAAGTATTAAACTTCTGTGTCTCTGTTTCCTCAAGTGAAAAACGGTATAAATAACGGTACTTACCTCTTGGGAGTTATTAAAAGGTTTAAAAGAGATCATTCACACAGCACTGAAACAGTGCCTGGTACACAGTAAACACTGGTAGTATAGTAGAGTTAAAGGTGGTGCCGCTGCTTCTGGTAATGGCGGTAATGGGTAAGAGTAAACTCCAATTTTCATTTTGACATCAGAAAAGTATTCTATTAGCAGTATTCACAACTCATTAACTTGAGCAAATACATATGCTACACCCTGTCCTCACATGAAAGACTAGGCTTTTAGAAATAATTATGAAATAGACTCTACTTATAACATTAACTTATCAAACATAGTTCCATATAGCATATGACTTTTCTTTATCCTCAGAAAGAAATGGAAGAGTATGGTGATTTTCTCCAAGGCTTAACAAAGTACTACCGAGCAGTGCTACTTTTCCCTGGCATTACGAGAGTACAGTATCCTGTCATGCTTATATATTTATAGTCACAACTAAACCTCAAACTCTTCAAAATACTATTTATATAAAATGTGCAAATCCAGGGTATGTTGTTGCTATTAGAAGCTGTTGAGTCAATCTTGACTAAAAGGTTGTAAACCTTGTTTGGGGTTTCCGAGGAGCATCTGGTGGATTTGAACTGGCAATCTTGTGGTTAGCAGTCCAGTACTTATCCTACAGCCCCACACCAGGACTCCACGGTATATGTAGTACTAAACAGCAAAAGTTACCTGGTCAAGAAGGATAAATGTTCACCAGCTTATAAAAACAGAAAGAAAAGTCCTCCGTCTTCAAGATGAACAAAAATAAAAATAAACTGGTAATCTCTAATATAAAATAATCACTTTCCTTCCATGAGAAAGTTGACAAAAGTCTTTTCATATGATTGAAGTACATTATTCATTTAATGTACCAGAAGTAAGCATATCAGTGTCTTTTCTTGAGGGTCTAGACTAGAAACAGCCATGAAGCAATAGCTGAGCTAGAAGTTCTTTTATAAAACCAGCTTTTTACTCCATTTCCACAGTGAATCTGTCACATATCGAGCCCACTGTGACACTCACAAGCAGTGGACTCCAAGGTGATTTACATCAAAACCTGATTTACACAAAAGTCCTTGTTGTTGTAAAGTACCTTCCAGTCAGTTTCGACTCTTTAACAATGCAGTATAGGGTTTCTGAGAAGCAGCTGAGGGGTTTGAACTTCCAACCCTGTGGCTGGTAGTCCAGTGCTTATCCTACAGCACCGCATCAGAACCCCATAGAAGAATCCTAGAGCACTAAATCAAGACCTCTTCTCAATATAACCATATAAACAGTTTCTCTTGCTACTCACCATTTCACAT